AGAGCAACTAGTAGAAGGAAATGTAAATTTCAAATGAAAAAAGACGGATTGACTAACTTTAGAAAGAATCAGTAGTAAAATGCTCATGAAACTTGTATATTGAAATCGTAAGACATAAGATATAACATGACTAGGCTACGTTATAAATATATAAATATACGTTATTTGAATATATATTATGGATATGATATAATTGGAGCCGTGATCTGAGACTAGAACTTGATCTGGACACTGTAGGCTCTCAAGTCTCCTTGGATGAAGGAGTAAATGGCATCTTTCAACTTATTCCCTTGATGGTTGTTGTGGGCCCAGCGTTTACTCCAGTTCCTACTCACACATAGAGGAGTAGCAATGTTGGGTGATGAAGTGATTGCTCAACTTGTCTTCTCCCGGCCTTGGTCTCTTCCTGGGATTAAAACCCAGATCTGTATCACTTCAGATGATGTCCCGGGAGGGGGATGTGGGCTGTATGTATGGGGTGTGAGGAGGGAAGATACTGGGAAGTGATTGGGTGCTGGAGATATTCACAGATGGACTTTGCAGCATTTCCTAATGGATTCATTCTGGGTGGTGAGAAGGAGGAATCAAGGAGGGCATCCAGTGTTTCAGACTGCAGGTAGAAATGTGGAGTGCCTTTCATAGAAGCGGTGAAAATTCTGGAAGGAGGACATCTGAGGAGGCAGCATCATGGGCATCCACTTTAGGAATGTTAAATCCGAGATGTGTATTAGAAATGCAGGTGACATTGGCAGTTGGATACAGAGTGCAGGGTAGGAGAAATATCTAGTTTGGAGAAATAGATGTGGGGGTGCCTGGGTGGCTCAGATGGTTAAGCGTCTGCCTTCAGCTCAGGTCATGATCCCAGGGTCCTGGGATCGAGTCCCGCATCGGGCTCCCTGCTCCTTGGGAGCCTGCTTCTCCCTCTGCTTCTCTCTCTCTCTGTCTCTCATGAATAAATAAGTAAAATCTTTAAAAAAAAAAAAAAGAAATAGATTTGGGAGGTGACACCATATAAATGATGATTAGAACCTTCATCATAGATGAGGTCACCAAGGGAGAAGAGAAAGGAACAAGACCAAACCCTGAACTCCTCAAGGCTAAGCAAGCTGATCAGAGTGCACACACCCAGAGTGGACTATACAGTCCGGTCTGTGTCTAGAAGGCACATAGACCGGGGAGGCCCACCCTTCAGTGTGCACAGGAATTTCCTGGACTATGAAGATCTAGACAGTCTGGAGCAGAGCATGAGATTCTGGGTTGATAACAAGGTTGGTGCTGATGCTGCTGGTCTTCAGATCCCACATTGAGTAGCAAGCACATGAAGCAGGATCCCCACATGGCCATGCATCAGCCTCTCCTATAGGGCTTATTAAATAAGTGATTCCTGGGCCCACGCCCAACATTCTAAGCTGGTGGGTCTGGGAGAGGCCTGAGTATTTGGTAACAAACCCAAAGCAATCCTGGGGCTCATCCAGATAGGGAAGCACTGAAGTCATTGATGAGAGCACTCACTGTGGGAAGGGGGATTACAGACACATTTAAATGTTTTTGGGGGCACCTGGGTGGTTCAGTCAGTTGGGCATCTGACTCTTGGTTTTGGCTCAGTTCATGATCTCATGGTCATGAGATCAAGCCCCAAGTCGGGCTTTGAACACTGCACAGAGTCTGCTTGAAATGTTCTCCCTCTCCCTCTACCCTTCCCCCACCACTCTATCTCTCAAATAAATAAATAATAAAATATTTTAATGGATTTTTTTGTAGGAAGAAAAATATAAGACATGCTGGGAGAAACATATTTTCTCTCCCATGGGGCACAGCCAGGTGGCAGATTGAGGAAGTCGTTAGCTCAACATAAAATCTCAGAGTTACTGAGAGTATAGATATTAAAGGTTCCCACCACACAAAAATAAATGGTAACTATGTGACATGATGCAGGTGTTAGTTAATGCTCTGATTTTGCAGTATAGAAATGTATCAACCAGCCGGCTGTACCCTAAACTCACACAATGGTGTATGTCAATTATATCTC